CCCCAAAACCCCAAAACCCCAAAACCCCAAAACCCCAAAACCCCAAAACCCCAGAAGGTGATGAAATGATTGAAATATTACTTTGATTCGCTAATAAATAGTGGTTAATTAGCATTTCGGCAACTATAAAGAGTAGTTGAGTATAACTCAGAGACCTCACTTGGAAATTCCTTTGGCCCTGGCTTTGAGGCTCTAAATGTCAGTGCTCTTGAAAATAATTTCGGGTTTGGAATATCTATTTTCTTCTCCACTGAGATTTTCTCTTTTGTAATGTTAAAAATATGATCAAATGTAACCTTGGTGTTCAAATGAATACACTTCTCTGCCATTCTAAGGAACTGCTCCTTCTTGATGGTTTTAGTGCATGCTTGAGTCTTAAGCACATCGGAAGTCATGATTGCTTTATAGATCTTAGATCTTGCTTCATAGAGTGTTGAAATAGCATCTCTTACTTCTTCTTTTAGATTTTGAACAGCATTCATATAGTTCACTGTGAAGTTCTGATATTGCTCGTTAGAAAAATTGAATAGAAGAGATCTTTCTACATAATCTCTGATTAATGGGTCAGGATATTTTTCGTGTCTCTGGAACTTTCCTAACTTTTTATAGCTCTCAAACTCAGCTTTAGTTTTTGGAAGAGACTTATCACAAGCATAGAGGTCAAGCATAGTTCCCTCACAGAAAATATTCCCAATGATTTTATCAAAGGCTTTGTCAAGAGCATTAATTTTCCTGGTTCCAAATGGACGACAAGCATCACTAACTTTGTTATGAATTTGAAATATGTCCTTTTCACCTGGGATTCATCTAATCATATTTAAGCATTCATTCGAAAGGCATGAAATGTTTTTCTGATCATTTATATCCATTGGCACATCTTGCCCACCTTGGCTTGCTTTCTGAGCTTGCTCTTTGTAGATTTTAACTTCCTTAGTCAATTGCTTAACTTGGTCCTCAAGATATTTGTTCTTCTTCTCCAGATCCTCATAGTATTGCTTCTTCCTCTTTCGTGCAATTCGAGCTCTCTCCTTATTAGTGAGGACATGCTTAGTCCCAGATTTAGAGTCATCCTCAAGGTTGCTCTTGGACTCTCATTTTGCGTGGGATTTGACCGTTTTACCTGCACCAATCATTGGAGTAGATTCTTTGAATTCTTCTTCATAGTCTATCTTGCTTTCATCTCTATATCCAAAGTCTTTTAATCTATCCTCGTTTCTCTGGGCGACATCCTCGAACAAAAGGTAGTCTGGAGGATTATATCTAAACTCCTCTGGCTCAATGACGTCATTCTCTCTATTTGAGTTTAAATTGAACTCTTGATGAAGATTTTCCATGTTTAGGTGATCAGACCATATATCAGGATTGTTGATTTGCCGCATTGGGTCATTATCGCACATCGCTTTTGACATGCATTCAAGTAAGGATTTGTTTTCTCGTCTTTGAAGGTCTTCAAGATATGGATTCACTCCTAAATCATACGCGCTGTTCTTATCTTCCATTTTATTAATATTATTCTTAAAATAAATGAAGTAGCATTTTAATATATTCTACAGACTATTGGGGTTTTGGGGTTTTGGGGTTTTGGGGTTTTGGGG